AAAAAAAAAAAAAAAAAATGGCATTGAAGCTCGAGATTCACGTGTTATCCTTCCTCTCTCAAATGATTTTTGTATGCGCGTGTTAAAGTGACGCGTCGGTTTCGTACAGACGAATTTTTGAATTCTTATTACTAATTAATTTTTTTTTCTTTTTTGTCTGTTCGTTTTCCGGGGCAAACCGTGGACGGTTACTCGGCGACCCGAATCGTGACCCGCGCGCCAATTTCACGCGGAGATGAATAAATGTTGACCCAATCAAAGGCTGACGAGTCACTCTCGAGGGCCCCACTCAGACCTATTTTGTTTTTTAATTTTTGAAATATTACGTGCACCTCTTGCACAAATATAATATAAAAATAAGGGGAGAGAAAAAAAAAATGAAACAGAGATAATTATTTTCTTTTCTAATATGTAGTTTAAAAAACAATGTCTAGGTTTTTTTTTTTTTTTCTTGCCTCTGAAATATAATATATATTACAAAAATATATCGTATCATAAAATATATTCGAAAATTCATGTTTATCATCACCATAAGTTATCTTGTAGTTTATATTGTACCAAATTCGAGGTATATAAAGTACCAAAGTATATGTCTTGCGTTTGTTAAGCAACAGAAATTATCTTGTAGCTTATTTGAGTAATTTATTACTTTTTACATTCAAATAAGATTGGTTTTTAGAACGAACTTAAAAAAAAAAAAATCGAACTTATTCCATAAGTTTCATCAGGTAGCTTTTAAAATAAACTCATTTGAATTTTTATTTCGTTTGGTTTATTAGTTGATTTTACCAAGTCAATTGTGTGAAGTTGAACTAAAAAACAAATATTGTTGTTATTACTATTATGCCACGACTTCAGATTCCACTAATGAGATTTTTTGACATAAGAATTTTAGTGAAGTAAATGCAAACAATGGCTGTCAAGCTTTTAATTAATGTCACTATGAAATTAATAGGTTTAAATAAAACAAAATGTGTGTGTGTTGGGGGTTGTTTAACAATTAGACATGTTTATATATTTACAAATAAAATTGTATGTTTATATGACGAAATGTCGCACTTTTATTTATGTTATTTTTTAAATCGTAAAAATTCAATTTAAACTTACAAAATTCATATATTTTATTAAATTGTGTTACTACCATTTAAGATAACAATGATGTTAATAAATTGTCATAACGAATCGTTTTTCTCATACCAAACAAATACAATATTTGTTCTACTATGCTCTTTAAAAGATCATTAATCTTGAAACAAGTTCATTTTATCTTTTGTCTTTAGGTTTTTGAACTTCATTTAGTCGAAAATGGAGAGAAGACAAAGACAATATCTTAATTAAAAAAGATAAGTTAATTATGAACAATATAATCATCATAATGAAAATATTATAAAATTTGAAAGTCATCGAGTCCATGTGCACATCAATTATAAGTCCAATTGTTAAATAAATGAGTCGCTAGTGAGATAAGCCAGCTCGACTCGTTAAAGTTTGAGTTTGAGGTTGTTCAAAATAGTTTTAGTTAATGAGACATGATTTTCGTGTAATTTTCTATAGCGAGACTTGTTAAGAGATTGGACTAACTCGTTAATATACATATATCGATAAATAAGATGATCTTGAAGTTGTGTATCATTTTAATAACAAAAAATATAGCTAGTGTATTATTATTATTATTATTATTATTATTATTATTATTATTATTATTATTATTATTATTATTATTATTATTTTTAAATTAATTTTCATTTCATTTTATCTATATATTATACTGGTGACACGTGTCCATGATGTACGTTAGTGATTGCGAATAAGCAGGTTGCTAGTGGATGGTTCATACGATCTTCACCTTATATTTACTTTACTGCCAAATCTAATTACAAAATAATAATAATAATTATTATTATTATAATTATAAAAAATTTCACTAATCATCTACTGTCAGATCATATTCGTGTATCATTTTTTTTTTTCACAAATATTAAAAATGATATTTACTTTTGAAACTTTGTTGGCTTCCCATTTATTGGCAATTTAATAGGTTTGCATTCCTCGTGTTGCCATATTATTATTATTGGTGTTTCTCAAATTATTTATGCTGTTTAATTTTAATACCCATACAATAAAAATCAGATATTGCAACAATTTTACTAATTAATATGATATTATAATCATATTTAAAATAATTTTGGGAAATAATATTTGGAGCATGCATGAATTTACAACTAGTGCGTAGCCCCGTGCGATGCACGGGTAAATATTAATAAATAATAATTATAATTAGGTCTCGAGTTTGAGTGGTGGGAAACCATTATCCTATTTAAAAAAAAAATATTATAAATTAAAGATGTGGGATTAACATGTGATATAATTTACGGTCGTATATCAGTTTAGTATCAACAATATAAAATTAACTTGTGTAGAGAACATAAAGTTTGCATGTTTAAAATATTAAAAACATGTAAAAGTATGTACTGGTTTATGTATTATTATTAAAAGATGTGAAGTCACCTACAATTCTTTTAAACTATTTTGGAAAGAAAACATGTTTAAAAACATTTGAATTTTACATTTGTATGAAAGATGTTTTCTAAACTCGATTGTAAAGAAACCATGTTTAAAAATATTTAAATTTAATATGTATATATATATATATATGTATATGTATATAGATATAATATGACATGATAATATATTATATAAAATATCATAAGTCTAAATATATTACATAAAAAATAAATAATGACATGATATCGAGAATTATGACTGTAATTCTTAATATTTTTTTATAAGTTGTTACCATTAAAAAGAAATTACGCATAACTATTTTATGCAGATTTATCAATTCTACAAATATAGATCGATGTTAATATAAAATGTAACAAAAATTGAAGACAATATTTAAATCTACATTTTTTCTTTTAACTTTTTATTATGTGTATTTAATATTTTTGGATGAGAAATGTGTGATAAATCTTATTCTCGTTATATATCTATCATTATATTAAAGACATCTAAAATATTATATTACATGTATAAAAAGTATATAAAATATTCTATATTATCCTTGAAAAAAGTTGAAGCTACTCTCTAAATTATTTTTTAAAGAAAACATGTATATATATATATATATATATATGTATATAGCTCCTTAATGTTTGTCCGAATAATGTTTGAAATATCTCCAATATTATAAATGTTAATAATATTTGAAAAAATATTAGTATTTAGATGGGATAAAATTAATTTTTAAAAAAATTCTGACTCAAGATTTATATTAACAATTACACTTTAGAGTGAATTATTTTTTTTGAGAAAAAAAATTGTTACGATAATTTTTTTAAAAAATATGTTAGAGTAGATGCATGAGATAT